CCCGCTGCTGCTGCTGCTGCTGCTGCTGCTGCTGCTGCTGCTGCTGCTGCTGCTGCAGGGACGGACGTGAACACGCAGCAAAGCTTCGAGCAGCTAAACGCGAGAGCTGTCGGAGTTGTGGTGGACCCAATTCAATCAGTGAAGGGGAAAGTGGTGATGGACTGCTTCCGGCTCATAAACCCTCACCTCGTGATGCTGGGTCAAACCCTAAACCCTAAACCCTAAACCCTTGAAAGCTAGGAGTAGTGGAGAGTAGCAATTCAAATTGATTAGAGCCAACTCGATGACATTTGCTGCTGTTGATGTGCGCACGCAGTGTTACTCATTGTTGTTGCTGTTTCCCTTGTGCTGCTGCTGCTGCTTTGCTGCTTCTGCTGCTGCTGCTGCTGCTGTGCTGCTGCTTCCTCTCGTCCTGGCGCTTCCCGGGCTGCTGCTGCGCTGCTTTGCTTCCCGCTGCTGCCGCCTCTCCGCGCGCCTCCCCTGCCGCTGCCGCTGCTGCTGCTGCTGCTGCTGCTGCTGCTGCTGCAGGACAGGAGCCGCGGCAGACAACTTCGAACATTGGCCACTTGTCGCGCCCCACAATAACAGCTCTGGTCCACGGACTTAACCGAAATTATTATTCAATTGCAATTAACTGCCGCAAAGGCGAACTCGAACACCAAATGCTGGCCAACCTGCACACCAACAAGTGGAGCGACGCCCTCAAACTCAAGGTGCTGCTGCTGCTGCTGCTGCTGCTGCTGCTGCTGCTGCTGCTGCTGCTGCTGCTGCTGCTGCTGCTGCTGCTGCTGCTGCTGCTGCTGCTGCTGCTGCTGCTGCTGCTGCTGCTGCTGCTGCTGCTGTTGCTGCTGCTGCTGCTGCTGCTGCTGCTGCTGTTGCTGCTGCTGCTGCTGCTGCTGCTGCTGCTGCTCGAAACCCCAAGCCCTAAACCCTACCGCTGCGCGCAGAACTACCAAGAGCACCAGGAGGAGCGGGAGGAAAGCATCGCGGCGCTGAAGGAGCTGAGCTGTCGATACACCTCAATGATTGAAGAAGAAATAAAAAAGAAACCCGAACAACTTCTCGTTGACAGAGCTGGACAAATAGATGCAAAAATGCGGATTCAGCAAACCCTAGATCAGCTGATGACGGACACGCTGCTGCAGTCCCTCGGCAGCATGATCTCCACGCTCGTCTTCTAAACCCTAAACCCTAAACCCTCGCCGGCCCCGCGCCCGCAGCGCCGAGCCCCACCAAACCCCAAACCCTAGAAAGGGGAGTGAGGGATTCCTCCCGCAGCTCTAGGGTTTAGGGTTTGGGGCTTCCGGGAGAGGGAGAGGGAAACGAACTTCAGGCTCAACGCCCTAGGGTTTAGGGTTTAGGGTTTAGGGTTTAGGGTTTGCAGCTCCAGGCCAAAGCAGGTGCTGAACGCCTGCAGGAACCTCCGCGTTCGAATTAAATGAAACTCTTCCGTTCGAATTAAAATGAAACACTGGTGCTGCAGCAGCAGCAGCAACGGCAGCAGCAGCAAAGCAGCAGCAGCAAAGCAGTAGCAGTAGCAGCAGAAACAGTAGCAGCAGAAGCAGTAGCAGCAGCAACAGAAGCAGTAGCAGCAGAAGCAGCAGCAGCAGCAGCAGCAGCAAATGCAGCTTGTGCGTTGGGATGTACGTACAGCTGCGGCTCTAGGGTATCGGCGCAGCCGCGGCTTTTTGTAAGATGATTTAAAAGTTTTTTAAATATTTAATTCCATTTTAGATTTGATATTTATTAATTGCATCTTGGACATTCGTTTGAATTTATATTTGCAAAAAGATTCAAATAACCATTTAAAAATGCATGTATTAAGTGCTTCTAGAAGCAGCAGCAACAGCAACAGCAGCAGCAGCAGCAGTAGCAGTAGCGGCAGCAGTAGCAAATGGTATAAGGGCATTCTGCAAAAGTTTGTCCGAAGTGTTCAAATAAATAGATAAATAAATGGATAAATAAGTAAATAAATAAATAAATAAATAATAAAGTCAATTTGAAGTTAATTGTTTTATTTTTATTTGAAATAAAAATTTTGAAGAAAAGCAAAAAGAGTTTTTTCATGAAAGTTGAAACGGCTTTGCTGAAGTGTCTGCAGTTCTGTTCCTTTGTTTTGGTTTTGAAACCAAATTAAAAGAATTAAAATCATATTTTAAGAATCAAATAAATTAAATCTTATCATTTCAGTTTTAAAATAAATAAATAAAAAGAATTAAAAGATTATAGGGGCCTTAGTGCTGAAGGTCACTCGAGACAGTGGTGGGGAGAGCGTCTAAATAGTTTTTGAAGTCCAGGATTTGAATATTTTGATTTGAAGCTTGAATTTAATTTAATTTTAAACTTATTATTTTATTTTAAAAACATAAATGCATTTACAATTCATTTATTTGCTCCCTTTACTTGCATTCAGAAGCAGATCTCTTAGCTTGATCTGTCGGCGGCGGTCCGCGCTGGCGGGCGACAGCGAGCACATTTTTTTGAAATAAAAAGCGGATGAAAACTCCTTCTGGATTTATTTTCAAAAATAAAAAAGAATCTTCTGTTTAATCAACTCCTTAGTTTCAAATTAAAGGAGGAAATGGCGAAATAAAGGAAGAGAGCATCGGCGGTGATTCGGGCGTCTGCGCAACGCCCGCGAGGTGTCTGTACACCTGAGCGCCCGCCGCCGCCGCATCTCTTCTCCGCATTTACAGCCATTCACTTTATTATTTTCGTTTAAAAAGAATCCGTTTTCGTTTATAAATGTTTTTTGATTCATTTTTATCGTTTTATCGCGACTCTGCAGACCCGCCGCGTCTCGTGGACCACTCTTGATTCGAGGGGCCTCTCTCACGCCTGCAGCAGCAAGCAGGAGCTGCTTGATCTTGAAACTTTGCTGCACTTCGTTGATTTCTTTTCACTTGAATTTCTTTTTATTTTATTTGTTTTTCAAAATGGAACAAACAGCTGCAGCGCCAGCGCCGCCACCCGCCGGCCCCAATTCAAATCGCCTTTCCACTCAAGACCCCCAGCTGTCTTCAGCGCTTTCGCTCGCCCAAGTTTCCCCTGCAGCTTCCCAAGACTCTCCCGCCTCCAGGTGAGCCTCCTGCACAATATTTAGCAGCAGCAGCAGCAGGAGCAGCAGCAGCTGCTGCAGCTGCTGCTGCCCCTGCTGCTGCTGCTGCTCGCGTTTCATCTTTATGGAATTTGAAAGAAGTGACAGCTCACGTGTGCATGGAGTGTATGTACACCCGGCGTGTGTCTGGAAACTTCTCACAATTTTACTTTTCTTTTTCACGAATTTCAAATTAATGCATTTATGAAACTTCTGGAATTAAATTTTCTCCAGTTTTTGTCTCTCAGTGGTATCTTTCTTGATTCTGCACTTTAAAGTCTTGAACTGAGCGAGCAGCAGCAGCAGCAACAGCAGCAGCAACAACAGCAGCAGCAACAGCCGCAGCAACAACAACGCAAGCAAAGCAGCAACAGCAACAGCAACAGCAGCGACAACAACAGCAGCAACAGCAACAACAACAGCAGCAGCAGCAACAGCAACAGCAGCAGCAGCAGCAGCAAGTGCTGCGTGTCTTGTGCTGCTGCAGCCCGCGGACTTACAGGTCGAACATAACTCGGCTGCCCACAGAGACTGGCTCGCAGCCCCCGCGGCCTCTTCGGTGATTTAATTTAATTTAATCTTTTTATTTTTTATTTATTTATTCATTTATTTATTATGTATTTAATTCTCATTTATTCATTTATTTATTTATTCATTTGCTTATTTTATTTGTTTGTTTGTTTATTATTCGAATTTGAATTTATTTTGTTTTGAAGTGGTTTTGTTGTGAAGTTATCTCTATTCATTTTAATTTGAATTTATTTGAATTTAAACTTATTTGAATTTATTCTACTTTATTTATTTAGTTTAATTTGAGTCTATTTTATTTATTTATTTCATTTAATTAATTAATTATTTATTTATTTTGTTTATTTAATTGAATTTAAATTTGAAAGAATTTTTATTTTCTTTTTTGGCTTCGCAGCGCCAGCGTCTTAAGACGGCTCGAGCAACAAGCAGTACGGACACTTGCTGCTGCTGCTGTTGCTGCTGCTGTTGCTGCTGCTGCTGCTGCCGATAGATAAGATAGCTGCTGCTGCTGCTGCTGCCGATATATTACGTAGCAGCTGCTGCTGCTGCTGCTGCTGCTGCTCTGGTGTCTGAAGTGACTTGTTTATTTCTGCGTTTAGTTTTTATTTGCTGCTGCCGGACTTTCTTTTTCTTTTAAAATTTTTCAAAATTCTTTTTTGTTTCTGAAAGGCCTCTAGACTGTCTTTTCTTGTTTATTTCATTTAAACTTTTATTTTATTTTTGTTTATTTCAATTTGTTATTTTATTTAAATCTTTATTTCTTTTTTCTTTATTCCAAGTTTATGTTATTTCCCTTTTTGCTGCAGGAACGCAGCTGCTGCTGCATCCGCCGGCTGCCGCAGTGGCAGCAAAACACAATTAACGTAAGCAGCAGCAGCAGCAGCAGCAGTAGCAGCAGTAGCAGCAGCAGCAGCAGCAGCGAATGTTGCATTGAAGCGTGTTTGCTGCTAGCTAGCAGCAGCAAACAAATGGGCAGAAGCAGCTCAAAGCCTCTTTTGATTTAACTTACCATTAATTGTTTTGTTTAAATTGTTTTAATTTCTTTATTTTAATTGTGTTAATTTATTTATTTTAGTTGTTTTAATTTACTTGTTCTAATTGTTTTATTTTGTTTATTTCTTTTTTGCTTTCAGGGACTTATGGTTTTGATTTGCGTCTTGCTGCTCATCAGCGTGGTGTATGTACGGCTGACGAGCACAGCAGCAAAACAAGAATGAAATGAAAATAATAATTAAATTAATTAAAAAAATGAATTAAACTAAATTAATTAAATTGAATTAATTAAATGAAATAAAGATTTTGTTTTGTTTGCTTCGCGGTGTCTGCGGTGTACGTACAGTTCCCCGGGGAGGTAATGCGGGCGGAAAGGGAAGAGCAGCGGCTCGCCTTGGAGCAGCAGCAGCAGCAGCAGCAGCAGCAGGAAGTGAGTGACCAGCAGCAGTTCATGCAGCGGCAGAAACAGCTGCAGGAGATGCAGAAGCAGCTGCAGCGGCAGCAGCAGCAGCAACAGCTGCAGCAGCAGCGCCTCCAGGAACAGCAACAGCTGCAGCAGCAGCGCCTCCAGGAACAGCAAGTGCTGCTGCAGCAACAGCAGCAGCTCAGTGTAGCCGCAGCAGCTACTGCAGCAGCTGAAGCTGCAGCAACAGAAGTCCCAGCAGCAGCAGATGCTGCAGCACCAAAAGCTGCAGCGCCAGGAGCATCAGCAGCAGAGGCCGCAGCATCAAAAGCTTCAGCTCCAGAAGCAGCAGCAGCAGAGGCTGCAGCAACAGAAGCAACAGCAGCAGCACTCCCTCCAAGCCAAACTGATGCAGCAAATTCTCGACATTTGCGCAGCAGCAGCAGCAGCAGTGAGACACAACACAAAACATTCTAAAATACGCAACACATGCAAATGCTTTTTAAAATTATGAATTTATAAATGTGAATATTTCTTGCTACCGACTTATACTTTCCTTTTTGGCTTTGCGTCACTTGCAGTGTACGTACACCTCAGCTTTTGAAGCGACGGAAAGAAAATCTGCATTTCAAGTAAATCAAAGTACTTGAATTGATTTAAAAGAATTAAAATGCAAAATAAAACATTTAATTTGAACATTTGAATTAATTCAAAAGAATTAAAATGCAAAATAAAACACTCAATTCGAACATTTGAACTAAACGCAAAATAAAACGTTTAATTTGAATATTTGAATCAATTCGAAAGAACTAAACATGCAAAATAAAACAAAAATAAAACATTTAACTTGAATACTTGAACAAAAATTGGGAACAAAACATTTAATTTGAACATTTGAATAAAAAGAAATTAAAATGAGAAACAAAAAGTGCATTTTGCATGCAGGCGGAAATCGAGAGAGGAAAATCGGCCGCGGAGTCAGCGGAAATTCAAAAGGTGAAAAACTAAAACAAAATAGGAAAGTGGATTTCTCTTTGCAATTATAACGCAATTGAAATAATAAAAAAGCAATTATAAATGCAATTAATGCAATTAAAACCGAAAAGTAAAATAATCTGAACAATTAATTCTTCTCCGCCGTGCGTTTTCGTGCAGCCGGAGCCGTGAGGTGTCTGTACACCTCAGAGGGGCCTGCTGGCCCGAAGCTCCAGAACAATTCTTTTTGAATTCTCCGGAACAATTCTTTTTGAATTCTAAGACGTTTCAATCAAACTTTTCTTTTTCTAATTTTGAAACTGGCGCCTCAGTTCGGCTGTCTGTACACCTGAATGCCCTACTTCTCCACTACACTCTCCCTGCCTAGCAGCACGCTGCTGCTGCTGCCGCTGCTGCTGCCTCTGCTGCTGCACCTGTCTAGCAACCCAACCCTGCGTTTGCGTGCACACCACAAAACTAAACAGGCGAACTTGTTCCGCAGTTCCACCAGAAGCACCCGCTGCAGCAGCAGCAGCAGCAGCTGCTGCAGCAGCAGCAGCAGCTGCTGCAGCAGCAGCAGCTCAGGCCTTCTTCTTGGCGACGCCGACGGTCCTGCCGTGGCGGCCGGTGGTCTTGGTGTGCTGCCCGCGGACCTTGAGGCCCCAGTAGTGGCGCAGGCCTCTGTGGAGGCGCATTTTCTTCAGCCTTTCGAAGTCTTCGCGCCAGACGGAGTCCAAGTTGTTCGCGGAGACGTGGCGGGACTTTCCGTCCTTCACGTCCTTCTGCCGGTTCAGGAACCAGGACGGGATGCTGAACTGCGTCGGACTCGCCACGATCGCCACGATCTGCAGCAGCAGCAGCAGCAGCAGGAGAGCAGCAGCAGCAGGAGAGCAGCAGCAGTGAGCGGCGCTTGTGGTCAGTGAGGTTCTTACTCGTTAGGTGCTGCTGCTGATTCTGCAGAAGAGTCGCTGGGACAGTTATAGCGGAAAGTTGAATTTCGTGTGCAGGCTGGCAGAAGGGAAAAAGAAAAGAAATAAAAACTCGAAACAAACAATTCCACTTTTAAATGCAAGAGCTGCTGCGCTCGAGTGGCCCTCGTGGAAAGCCTGAAAGAGAAGAATCCGAGAAGTTTCCGAAGTTCAAAAAACGGAAATCGGATGGAACCGCTGCTGCTCAAGACAGATCACGGAGCAATCGGCGGCAGCAGCGCCCCGCTGGGATTGCAAAAGACGAAAAAGTCATTTTAATTCCGCAGCGGCGAAAAAAACGGGAAAAAACCTCCAGAATGTCGAACGATGAAAAGAAGTGATGAGAGTGAAGGCGGGTGGCGGGAAAGCTGCAGGGGTGAGGTGTATGTACACCGCAGCGCGCGTACCTTGCTGATCTCGTCTGCAGTGAGTTCGCCGGCCCTTTTGTCCGTGTCGATGTCGGCTTTTTTGCAGATTAAAGTGCTAATTCTTCTTCCAATTCCTCGAATCGCAGTGAGGGCAATAACGACTTTCTCCCGGCCGTCGACGTTGGTGTTCAGCACCCGCAGAATGTGCTGGAAGTCCGCCATGTTCGTGGCTCTGAGCGACATTTTCGAATTCTAATCCGCCGCTCCAGGGGAAACCCTCAAATAAAAGAGTTTTTTGCAATTTAATTTGCTGCTGGCAGCCAAGTGCTGCGCGCAGCGCGGCAGTTCAACTTCGGGGCTGTGGCCCCCGCAGGAGAGCCCCCCCACAGGCAGGGCTTCGGGCCTGCGATTCTGCGAGATCCCCCGGAAACGCATGCAATAAAGCACCGAAATAATTCTCAAAATGCATTTTGAAACATAGTTGGGGAGAAAAAGACAAAGAGAAACGTTTTAAGAAGGCCTTCGGCTGCTGCTGCCAACATGCGCCCGCGGGCGATTCAAAAGGCGGCGCGGAAGCAGCCGCTTGGGGGCTCTCTGCGCTGCAGTTGGGCGCTTTTCGGGGAAATAAAAGTTTAAAAGAAGAATTAATAAATGAAAAACAAAAAACGAATTAAATGCGGAGTCGGGGCTGCTGCTGCTGCTGCTGCAGCGAGCAGCAGCACGGCTAGTTGAGCCTAGGCAGTGTCGAGTCGGGAGCCGCGGCGAGATCTTTGCATTTTCTCGCGAGTTTTTTGTTCTTTTTGTTTTATTTTGAACAAAAAGGCATTTTAACTAGTTGTTGTGGAAGAAATTCCGGGAAAGCCCCGCTGCTTGTGCTGCAGCAGCACGGAGCAGCAGCAGCAGCTCGCCGCTGTGCTGCTGCAACAGCTTTCGCCGCGCTGCTGCTGCACCCAAAATGGAGGTTTCTTCAGTAGTTTGGATTGTTCTGGGCACGACTTTTCTAGTCACTCTTGCTGCAGTTTTGTCTACAACTTGTTTGGGCCCTTTGCTGCTGCGCTGCTGCTGCTGCCCCTGCTGCGCCTGCTTCAAGGCCCTCACGGGCAAAGACCTTTTCCCCAGAGCTTCCACTTTCCCCCTTTCCGAGGGCTCTGAGGGGCCCCCGGGGGGCCCCCCTGCCTGCAGCTGCTGCGAGCTTGCTGCAGCACACCCTGCTGCTGCTGCTGGAGCAGCAGCGCCCGCGGACTCCGACCCCCTCGTGCCCTCCCCCCAGCAGCAGCAGCAGCACGGCAGCAGCAGCAGCAGCAGCCGCGCCCTCCCGCCTCCTGCTGCGGATCTGCAGGGGGCCGCGGCCCGTCCTGCGGCCCCCGCAGCAGCAGTAGCAGCAAGAAGCGCTGCTGCTTCTGCTGCTGCTGCAGAAGCTGCTGCCAACTCGTGCGCCCCCGAGAGACCCAAAGGTCCCTTCGCTCCTGCTGCTGCTGCTACAACTATTACCAGCTGTACAGACACCCCAGCAGCAACGAACACGCCCGCAGGCCTGTCAACTCCTGCTGCTGTTGCTGCTGCTGCTCGGGCAGCAGCTCCTCCTTATTCCTTTTCTCCCGCTGTTTCTCCCATTTCAGAAGCAGGCAGTCCTGCTGCTGCTTCCAGGCGCGCCGCAGCAGCAGCGCCTGCAGCAGCAGCAGCACCAGCAGCAGCAGCAGCAGCGCCCAAGGAGGGCGAGCCGCAGCTCGTGCACATGACGCTTGCTGCTCTCGCTGCAGCAGACGCAGCAGCAGATGCAGCAGCAGCAGCAAAACAACCTGGCGGGGCCGTCGCCGTGGGTGTGGGGCCCCCCGCAGCAGCAAAATGCAGCAGAGGAAGAAGGGGCCTCGTTTTAAGGGCCCCTCCTGCTGCTACAAATGCTGTTTCTGCTGCTGCTGCTGAGAGTCTAGAAGCTCTTGTTTGACCTGGCGGCTTGGCAGCTTCTTGCTGCTGCTGCTGCTGCTGCTTCCTTCTCCTGCTTCTCCCTCTGGCTCCCCGCGGCGCTCGCCGCTGCTGCTGCGGCTGCTGCTGCGGCTCGCTGCTGCTTCCTCCCCCGCTGCTCCTCGCTCTTCTTCTGCTTCCCTTTGCTGCTGCTGCTGCTGCTGCTGCTGCTTTTCTTTTTCTTTAATGCACCAGAAGCAAATAAAGTCCTCCGCAGGTTTCCTTTGGCTTCCCAAAGCCGGGCGCGCCGGAAATGAGTTATGTGTTCGGCGCTGCTGCACTGTACAGCTCTTTGGCTTTGCTTTCGAAGTAAATGGCAAACAAATGCGAAGTAAACAAACAAATAAACAAATAAATAAACAAATAAATAGAATTAATAAATAAATAAATAAAATAAACAAATAAAGGACCTGTCGTGGGTCAGTTGCGAGTTCCCGCCGCCCGGGTTCGGCTTGGGCAAAAGCCCAAGAAAAAATTTGAACTTGACGGACTCAAAGGGAATTTCGAAATGCAGTTAAGTGCAAAGCAATTGAAATAAAATAAATTCGAATTAAAAAGAAATAAAATTAATTAAATTGAAAAGAAATTCGAATTAGTTTCGCCAAGAAAGATTCAGAATCCGCTTCGCCGGAAAGAAATAGTTCCATTTCAGTTCAAACAGCTTTCGAAATGCAGCTAGTTGCAAAACAATTGGAATCAAACAAGACAGAATTTAATTTAATTTCAAAAAAGAAAATAATGCAATTTATTCAATTGAAAAGAAATTGAAATTAACTCCGCAAAAGTAGAATTGGGATTGGTTTCATCCGAGTTGAGAAAAGAAAAGACGGATTTAAAAAGAATTGAAACTTCATCTTCGAAAAATAACTCCAAGTGGATTTAATTGAAACGCAAATCGAAATAATTGAAATTGAAAAAATCGAAGTTCTTCAAAAATGGAATTAAATTCAAGAAGTGGAATTCACGAAACTCGAAGTGGAGGCGGAACTAGTTGCAATTTGAAATGAAGTTAATTGCAACTGAAATAGATACATGTTGCAATTAAAATGGATATTATTTGCAATTAAAAAAGGTATTTATTGCAATTAAAATAGATATTGGTTGCAATTGAAATAGATATTAATTGCAATTAGAGTGGATATTGATTGCAATTCTTTTATTGCAATTGGAGGTGAAATTAAGGGCATTTTGAATCGAAGTTAATTGCAATTAGAAACAAAATTAATTGCAATTGGAAATGAAATGAAATGCAATTAGAAATCAAACAAACTGCAATTAAAAGCAAATTAAATTGCAATCGAAATTGAGTCAAATCGAATTGAAATAATTGAAATTGAAATTGAAATAAATTGCAATTTAAAAAAAACTAAATTGCAATTTGAAATGAAATTAAATTCAATTTGAAACGAAATTAAATGTAACCAAAAAGAAACTGAATGGCAACTTGAATTCAAGCTAGTTGCATGCAAGTGCATGCAAGTGCATGCAACTGGAAACGGAATTAAATGAGGTTAGAAATGAAATTAAATTAAATTAGAAATTAAATTAAATTAGAAATTAAATTAAATTAAATTAAATAGAATTGAAGTAAATGCAATTGGAAATAAAACTAAATGAAATTAGAAGAAGCTGCCTAAAAGAAGCTGCCAGCGTGGCCGCGGCCAGCAGCAAAAAGTTCTGCTGCTGCTGCTGCTGCAGTTCAAATTGAGCTGCTGCGTTACAGCAGCAGAAAGTGTTCAAAGAGAAGCAGCAGCTGCAGCAAAATATTCTGCTGCAGTTCAACTTGCTTTTCTTTTGAGCTGCTGCACTAGAGCAGCAGAAAGCGTTAAAGGAAAGCAGCAGCTGCAGCAGGTTTTGCGGCTGCTGCAGTCCACATTGTTTTCTTTTTTGGGCTGCTTCACTAGAGCAGCAGAAAGTGTTAGCAGCTGCAGCAAAAGGTTTTGCTGCTGCTGCAGTTCAAATTGTTTCTCTTTTGAGCTCCCGGACTAGAGCAGTGTTAATAGTAGAGCAGCAGCTGCAGCAGAAGGTTCCGCTGCTGCTGCAGCTCAAGTTTTTTCTTTTGAACAGCAAACAGTGTTAAAGCAGCAGCTGCAGCAGGCGGTTTTGCTGCTGCTGCAGCTCACATTGTTTTCTTCTGAGCTGCTGGACTAAAGCAGCAGATAGTGTTGAAGGAAAGCGGCAGCCGCAGCAAAAGGGTTTGCTGCTGCTGCTGCTGCAGTGCTGCAGCTGGGTTTGTTGCAGTGCCTCGGGGTGCTGGAGATATTATTTCCTTGCAACTCAAAAATAATGAAAAAGCTGGAGTTCGCGCTGCTGCAGCACAGTCTGCGTGTACAGTCGCTCAAAAGTCAAAAGAAGTAAATAATAAATAATCTGAACTTTGCGAGAAAACAAATCCTGCAGTGGCAGCCCAGGCAGGGCGGAAGCAGCAGAAAGAAAGCCACGAAGCAGCGGCGCCGGCACTTTTGTTCGTTTTTTTTCCTTTTTTCGCAAACATGATGAAATAAAATGATTTATTTCACATTTTCGCGTTCGTATTGCACCAAAACGGACGTTTCTGGCGTTGATCTGGTCGCTTTCTGTTTCCGAAGAGGCCTTGCACGGCGGCTGGGGTGTACGTACACCCCAGCGGCGCGCGCCGCTTTCTCGTGCAAGTCGGCAGTTCAGTTTCTGTTTTTTTCAGCTTCTTCTTTGAGTTGTTTCATCATTTCGACGAAGATATGTTTGTCTTTTACTGCTTCAAAACGAATTGGAATGCAGTTTCCAGATTCTATCAAGTGCAGCGCCACGCAGTTCTCGTCGTCCACCAAGTTCGCCTTCGTCTCCACGCGCTTCAGCTGATCCCGCGTGTGCAGCAGCGACTTGACGTCGCTCAGCGGAATCACCCGCACCTGCGCAAACCCCAAACCCCAAACCCTAAACCCTAAACCCTAAACCCTAAACCCTCAGCTGCAGACCCTGCGCGTTCGCGTTGCGCCCGCTGGCTGCTGCAGCCTGTGCTTCCTCGATCCGTGGGAACCCTGAACCCTAAACCCTTTCCCGAGTGAACCCTGGACCCTAAAGCCAGCCCCTCTAAACCCTAAACCCTAAACCCCAAACCCTTCAAACCACAAACCCCAAACCCTACCCCTGCAAATCCCAAACCCCCAATCCCCGCGCCTGTAAGCCCCAACCGCGCAACCCCGCAAACCCCAACCCCAACCCCAAACCCTAAACCCTAAACCCTAGGTACCTTGTCTTCGCAGGAAATGCTGAGGGACTTGTCGGAAGGGTTTAAGTGGAGAGTGCATGCAAGTTTGGTCCCGTCTTGCAGCAAAACAATTATTGCCATTCCCCCCTGCAGCCGCTTCCGCAGGTCTTCTACTTCGGGCTGGTTCACAGCCACTGCTGCAGCAACAAAGCTCGAAAGGTAATTAATTAATTAATTAATTAATTAATTAGTCAATTAATTAATTAATTAATGCATTTAATTTAATCAATTCAGTTAATTTATAAATAAATTGAAAAAACAAATAAATTGAAGAAATAAATAAATCGAAAAAGTAAATTAAAATGAAAGAAATCAATTTAAACAATTTATCAAATCCCAGACTTCTGGCCCCTCGCCCGGTCAAGTGCAGAAAACATGAAATCTGCTTCCCGTCTGCTGCTGCTGCTGCTGCTGCAGCACTGCTGCTGCTGCTGCAGCACTGCTGCTGCTGCTGCTGCGTGTGGCTGCAGGTGGACACAATGCATTTCGTGTATCAACAAAATAAGACATAAAACGCAAAAGAAAAAATGCCATTTATTTGGAAACAAAAAGCAAAAGTGAGAATTAAAAGAAAATTAATTTATATTCTTCTTAATGGACTTCAATTGCAAAAGTTGAATCGACAGAAACGAAAACCGAGTGTACGTACAGCGGGGTGTGCGTACACCTCCGCTGTTCCTTCGAACTGCATGCTCGCGAAACGAAATAAGAAGAACAAAGGAATAAAAGGAATAAAACAAACAAATGAATTTACATAAAATAAACAATAAAAAGAACAATAAAACTTGAAAAAGACTTTGTTCATCATTCCTTCAGCGGAAGCACTTGAGGAGGCGCAGCTGCACATGCAGAACGGGGTGTACGTACACCCCAGCGCGCGAAGCAGCACTTTTGGATTTTCATTTTAAATTAAAAGTTTTAACTCCCACCTGGCTGCTCCTGCTGCTGCTGCTTCTTGGGTTTTTTTTCTTCTTTTGCTGCTTCTTTGTTCTCTCTTTCTTTGTCTTTGCTTTTTTGTTCACTTTGTTCTTTGCTGCTGCTTTCTTTGCGGGGCTTCGCGCTGTGCGGCTTCTCTTTTGCTGCTGCTGCTGCTGCTGCTGCTGGCTGCGGCTCCTTCATCACCTGCCGGTCGTCCGCATCCTCCACAGCGCAGCAGGAACTGACTGCGCCCATCTTTGCTGCTGCTGCTGCTGCTGCTGCTGCTGCTGCGCGCCTCTGCGTGTAGGGCTGGCGAGCTGCAGCTGTTGCGCCTCAACTTTGATTTCTATTCTTCTCGAGGCGCCCCCGCGAGCCCGGCGAGGCCCGGCGAGTCTGCTGCTGCTGCTGCTGCTGCTGCTGCTGCGGTGTGTGTGCTGCTGCTGCAGCGCCGCTGCGCCGGTGAGGCCCGCGGGCTTTGCGCAGCGCAGCAGCAGAAGCCGCAGCCACGCCAATTTGCTGCGAGACTTGCTGCTGCAGGGGATCAGCAGCAGCAAAGATTTAAACGCCGCAAATGAAGTGGTGAAGGGTCTGGGAGAAGAAGCAGAAACTGGCGGGCTGAGGTGTCCATACACCCCAGCTGCGATGGTCTGGCACGAAGGGCGCAGCAGCAGCAGCAGCTGCAGCAGCAGCAGCAGCAGCTCCTCAAAAACAATAAGTGCAGCAGTAAATATTCTCTTTTGCTTTTGGTTTGTCAAAAAGATCCAAAAAATAAACAGCAGCAGCTCAGCAGCAGCGGCCGCGTTTCATTCCTCGCTGCTGCAGTCGCGGCGAGAGCCTCTCAGCGCCAGTTTCTCCTTCTGGGGGTCTATTTGCATGCAAGTAAACCCCAGCCGATATTATTTGATTTATTTTGCAATTTAAAACCCAAAGAAAGCCTCAATTCCTAAAAAATGCGGGCGAAGAGGCAGCAGCAGCAGCAGCAGCCCCCGGCGACCAGCCGTTGAGCCAATCACCACGCCCATTGGTTTCTTTGGCCCACTGCAGCAGCAGCAGCAGCGCAGCAAACCCACTTTTGCTTTTCTTCTTCAAACTTCTCTTCTTTTCAAATCAATTATTAATTTAAATGTCCATTTGCGGAAAACGGCGCCGACGGCGCCGCTCGGGTGTATAGACACCTGACCCACGCAGCCGCGGCAGCCCCTGCGCCACGCCTAAGGCACTTCCCGCAGCAAATTGTCTTTTTTAAACCCCTAAACGCATTTATTTTTAAAATAAAACATTTTAAAACCGATGCAGTTTTTTATCCGCAAAAAGAAGCTCTGGGGGCCGCTAAAATTCAAAAAGTGCTTTTCGGTGACACCCCCGCCACCTGCGGTGTACAGACACCCGAAATTTCAAACAAGCCACACTCCCTTTCGGGCTCTCGGCCCAATTCTTTATCTTTCAGGGTTTAGGGTTTATCTTTTAGGGTTTAGGGTTTATCTTTTAGGGTTTAGGGTTTAGCCTTGGAGGCCCAGGGCCGCGAGGGTTTAGGGTTTTAGCCGCCAGAGCTCTCAGGACTTAGCCCCTAGGGTTTAGGGTTTAGCCTCTGGGGTTTAGGGTTTAGTCCCCTAGGGTTTAGGGTTTGGCTTGCTGCGCCTTTTGCTTCTGTGTGTGCTTTCTCTATCTTTCTTTCACTCAGTTTAACTCCACTTCTTTCAACTCACGAGTCCAAGTACAGATGAGGGTTTGGATTTTAGGGTTTAGAGTTTAGGGTTTAGGGTTTAGGGTTTAGGGAGTTCTAAAAACAAGAAAGGCTGCAAATGATTTGAGTTTTGCTGCGCGAGAGCACCGGCTGCTAGCCGATTGAAATCTATTAAGCCACTTTAATCAAATGAATAAAAATGAATTAAATTAATTGAATTAAACGAATTGAATTAATTAAATTAAACAAATAAAATAAAATGAAATGAAATAAAATAAATTTAATTTAATTGGATTTTAAAAGTAGTATAAAATTCGTTTTATTTATGCCCTGAAGTTAAACTGCCTAAATTCGAAAACGCTCCCACGCCGGTGGCTGCTGCTGTTGCTGCTGCTGTTGCTGCTGCTGCTGCTGCTGCTGCTGCCGCAGAAATATCGTGTAGTAGGGTTTAGGGTTTAGGGTTTGGAGGAGAGCAGCATTGTGCAGCTGACGAAAACAGCAACGGAAATGATTTAGCAAAAACAAGAAATAAATTAAATAGAACACAAAGACCTTTGTGCTTCTGCACTCTTCTCTAAGGTTATTTTTTATTTTTTATTTCTTTTATTTCTTTTTTGTTTCATCCTTTTTTTAATTTGTTATTTTTTGCTCTTCATTCTGAGGCCTTCCTGTCCTTCCACTGCAGCGGTTTAGGGTTTAGGGTTTAGGGTTTAGGGTTTAGGGTTTTAGGTTTGCTACTGCGAGCCTCAAACCCCAAACCCTAAACCCTAAACCCTAAACCCCAAAGCTTATAAGCACCAGCGTGAAGCTGCACATCCTGGAGGTGTCTGTACAGTCGAATTGCTGGAAGATGGGCTTTTATTTATTTTTATTTATTTTACATTTGGAGTTACTTTGTGCAGATATAAAACACTTGTATGCAAATTGCAAAGATCAATCTTTGCAGCAATAACGGCATAAAAGATGAATATTTGGATAAATAATTGCAAAATTTGTATTTATGTTTATATCTAATTCAAAACTTTTTCTTTTTTGAACTTAAGTTCGCGTTTTGCTGATGCATGCTGCTCGTCTGTACAGAGCAGAGCAAGGGGGAAGGAAAGCGCCGCTAAAATGCGGATTTTTAGGAATTAAATGCTTAAAAAAACAAAAATTAATAAAAATAAATGCATTTGGATGAATAAAAAACAAAATAAAAGTAAAAATAAAGGAAGATTCGAGAAAAAGTTGACAGCGGCGCATGCAGCTCGAGAGCATCTCGCTGGCTCGGGGGCTTCCGGCTTGACTGGGTGAGCTTTTTGCGGTTACTTGAAGTTGAAATTGCAAATAAATGGAAATAAATGAAAATAAATGGAGAAAAAAGGAAAAGATCTCTTTTTTCAAACAAAAAGGTGCAGTGACACTCCAGCAAGCACACAGCGCCACGGGAAACCGCTGGCTGCTCCAGCCGCCGTCCGCAGCCGCCAGTCTTCAGCGTCTACTTCATCTTTGAGCATTTCAAAAAAGAAATTTAATTTAAATGAATTTATTCTTCTGAAGAAGGCCTTTCTTTTGCCTTCCCGGAGAGCCGCAGCGGGGCCCGCGAGGTGTACGTACACCCGGCGCAGCAGCAGCACTTGCGCGACCGCCAATAACGCTTCATCACTTTTATTCTTTTTGTTTTTGTTGTAGGGATGGAGCGAGCCTGCATAAGAGGTGAGAAACCTTTTAAATACTTCTTTTCTTTTCTTTTCTTTTCATTTTTATCCAGCTTTCCCTTCCTTCTATTCAGGCCACTTCAGCTGCTTTAGCAATTTCATTTTTTCTCCTTTTTATTTTTTCTTTTCTTCTTCTTTTCCACTTCTCATGTTGCGGCGGACCAGCAGGGCTTCAATTTGCTGCAGCAGTTTCTGTTTTTTGTTTCTTTGTTTCTTTTTTGAAATTTCTGAAAAGCAGGGAAAAGGGCATTTTCGCCTTCTTCTTGAATCTTTTTGGATTTATTTAAATCCTTTTTGCTTTTAAAGATGTTCTAAAAGGATTTAAATCGAAAAGGAGAAACAATAATTTTCGAAAGCTTTTGAAAAAGCATTTCTTCATTTTGCTTTTTTTCGGTTAAATGGGTGTCCAGACACCTGGGAGTTTCTTGCAATGCAGAAGTTCATTTCATTTCTTTTTATTTTATTTACTTTACTTATTATATTTATTTTGCTAATTTCATTCATTTTATTTTAATTTCCTTTTTTTTTCTTTTTTTCTTTTTCTCCCTCCCATTCCTCTCGTTTCAGGTGTCTGTACAGCAGCTGACAAGCTGAGGAGCTTCAGCTGTTTATTTTACCTTCAATTTATTATTTTAATTTATTCTTTTGATTTATTCTTTTAATTTGTCATTTTAACTTATAATTTGAATTATTTTATTTAATTTTAGTTTCCTCTTTTTGCCTCTTCAGGCTTTCTAACTTTGCTGCTTTTGGTCTCCGTCTTATTTACCTTCTGCGCCCTCCAAGAATACCTTTATATGTGGTGAGACTTTAATTAATTTGAATTAATTTCAATTTGTTTTAATTTATTTCAATTTATTTTTAATTTCTTCTTTTAATTTCCTTTTAATTGCAAGTTCAAACTCTGCTGCTCTTCAAACCCCGAAAGGCCAATTTGCCGCAGCTACTTCCACCCTCCCCCGCCTTGAAACGCCCCCGCTGCTGCTGCTGCTGCTGCTGCTGTTGCTGCTGCTGCTGCTGCTGTTGCTGCTGCCGCTGCAGGATATTTTGGTGCGTGGTTGTGGGGTCTCTGCTGCTGGTGGATTTCATGTTCATGGGAAGAAATGCATTTATTTATGACCCCTTTTATGAGTGAGCACTTTCCCACACCGCCCAAACCCTAAACCCTAAACCCTAGCCCGCCGGGGCCTGCTGCTGCTGCCTCCCGGGTGTACGTACACCGCAGCAACAGACACCCCATGTTCATTTTTTTCCTTTCTTTTCCTTTTGCAGCAACTGGGCGCAGCGGACGGCTCCCAAGTACTGATAACGGGATAGCAGCAGCAGCTGCTGCTGCAGCTGCAGCAAAAGCTGCAGCAGCAGCTTAGGCGGCATAAGAAGCTGCAGCAGCAGCTTAGGCAACATAAGGAGCTGCAGCAGCAGCAAGACTGCAGCAGCAGGAGCTGGAGTGGCTGCTGCTGCTGCGGCAGAAGCTGCTGCAGCAGGAGCTGCTGCAGCAGCTTCTGTTTATTATTTATTTGTTATCAACAGGCCTTTAGTGGCTGATTGTAAGTGACTTTGCCTCTGCTGCTGCTGCTGCTGCTGCTGCTGCTGGGTCACGAAAAAGGCGAAAAAGAAAAAATGGAAAAGTGAAAAAGAAAAGTCGGTGTGGGGCGGGAGGCGCAGCAGCTGTCGGTACACCCCGTGGCTGCAGCGCTTGCCCCTCTTCGCGAATTGAAGGCTCATTTAATTTAATTTAAGTTATTTAATTATTTAATTATTTTATTTCATTTATTTTCTTGTTTGAAAGGGTAGTTGCGGCTCTTTTCTCCGATCCAGCTGCTGCTGCTGCTGCGCTGCTGCTGCGGGCCGCCGTCTGCATTCCATTAGCCGAATTGAACTGCAGCAGCAGCAGCAGCAGCAGCAAATTAAATTTGAATAAAAGCAAATTAAAGTTTATATTTATTTGCGCAGAGTTATTTATTTAAAGGAAGATCTGCAACTCCTGCGGACTGCTGCTGCAGCAGGCGAGGTGTACGTACACCTGGAGGCGGCACTGTACACGCAAAGGAATTTATTTTGAATTTAAAATTAAAAAAATAAAAGAATTTAAAATTCAAAATTAAAAGAAACTTTACTTCATAACTCACTGCTGGAGTGGCCCCCAGGGGGCTGGTGAACCTTCACAGAAGTGCGGCCCGCCTCGGGCTGCCCAAAGCCCGTTTGCTGCTGCTGCTGCTGTTGCTGCTGCTGCTGCTGCAGGCGGTGGGGGGCCCCTGGGGGGCCCCCAGGTGCTGCTGCTGCGGCGTAAGGGGCTGGGGGCGCAGCTGGCTGCGGTGCTGCAGATCAAAAGGCAGCAAATGGGCAGAAAGGAGGGACTTCTTCGAATTAGAAAAAGAAAAAAAAAGAAATGGTTTTAATTGATGGGGGAATGGTTTAATTTAAAAGAGGCGCAGCAGACGCACTGTCATCGCCAAAACAAATCGAAGAGTTTCCCCCGGGAGCCGCGTGGACGCGAGTGGAGGGCCTGTTTTTATAAAAAGGATTATCTCCGCAATCTGAAAAGAAGAAATGTTGAAAATAAACAAAAATAAAAAAGAAAATTCAAAAAAACATGCAGGGTCGGCTGTTGTTCGCGAGCTGCTGCAGCGGCGAGAAGATCCGGCGGGCTCTGCGGCCCTCCAGCGCCTCATTTCGCAGCTTTCCGCGCAAAATTTAAAACCTTCTCAACTAAAAATGAAATTAAAATTAATAACTCACCCATTATGTCGAAAAAAGAAGAAAAGAAACGCCAAAAATTGGAGTGTCACTGCAGCTCGCGTGCGCAGCACCACCCCCCGCCGCGGAAACTGCTGCTGCTGCTGCTGCTGCTGCTGCTGCTGCGCGAAAAAGCCTTTTCTGAAGCAAGTAGCGTTCAATTAAAAAGAGGAAATTCGTTTTATAGTGTTCGGAAAAGATCCAGAAAGGAGCAGAACCCCTGCGGCCTTCTACTGCAGGGTGGTAACACTCCGCAGCGACCAGCCCCAGCAGCACCGACTATTTCCCAGAACCTGAATTCAGATTTCAAGTTTCTCGCCAGTTTTCCGTCATTTATTCAATTTAATTTAATTTACCTAAATTAAATATATTTTAAAACTTATTTCAGCATTTTCAAACCCCAAATCCGCCCCATGTGCAAATGAATGCAAAGAAATGCCTGCAGAAACCTGAAATGGAGTGGTTGGTGATTATTGCATCTGCTCCAGCTAAAAAGATGAACAATCTTCACAATTGAATTATATTTAATTATTTAATTACCTTTAATTGCATTTAGTTATATTTAATTAATTAAATGAAAAGAATTGGCTCGGGAAAGCAGATCTGAACGAGGAACAGTTTTGCAAATTTTTGAATTCTTTCACAAGACACTGAAGGCTTGCGAGAATAGGCCACTATTTAGGAATAAATAAATTTCCTTTTGACTTTTTTTTGAAGATAATTAATTTATAATTTAATATTTAATTAGTTTATTAAGTCTTAATCAATTTTGAAGAGATATTTGGCATGCCGTTTGCAGGTTTTCAATATCTTTTCATGAAACCATCTTGAATTCTCCTCACGAGGCCTTGAAATGCTCGAAATAGACTTTTAATTGGCTTTGATTATATCAAAATAAGCTTAAAATTAAATTTAATTAAATTAAAACTCAATTCAACTAAATCTTTTCAACTAAATGAGCTGGTGGCCCAAACAAGGCAGCCGAAATTTGATCATTCTTGAGGCCATTTCGGGGCCACTTTAACATCAAAAAGAAGCAAATAAACACTAAAAACACCTAAATTAATATTTAATAATTTATTTAAATATTTTAAAATTTATTTAAGCATTAAAAAGACTCAAATGAGATCAAATGGATCAAATTGAGACTCAAATGAGCTCAAAAGGATCAAATTGAAGCTTCAAGGTCCAGTGCAGCACCAAAATAAAGTTAAAATTCATTTAATTGAATTAAAATTCCATTTAATTAAATCTTTTCCATTTAAATGGTATTTTTCAAAAGAATAAACTTGAGCTTCACCGCAGCACAAAAGCACTCAAATTCGAAAAGCTTTAATTTGGTCCTTTTGCCCTTCAAGCCCTCCCCAGAAGCTTAGAGCTGTTGCTGCTGCTGCTGCTTGCTGCTGCTGCTGCTGCTGTTTGCTGCCGCTGCAGCAAGCCCTGAAATGCTCAAAAAGCTGCTCTTGCAGCAGCAACTGGCTGCAGCAGCTGCAGCAGGGGGCTTTTGCTGCTGCTGTCTTTGCTGCAGCTTCTGGGACCTTTTGGGGCCTCGAATTTCGCCGAAGAGGAAAAGTTTTGCATTTTGCATTTTTAATATTTTGAAATTATACATTTTAATCCATTAAAGCTTCAAAAAGTGTTTTAAAATTCAAAAACCAAACAGCAAACTCTCACAAGTTGCTGCTGCGCTGCTGCCACGAAGCTGCTGCTCAATTGACTCTAAAAGACTTTTCGAGAGTTTGCAAATCCCAAAAGGCTTCCAGCCCCTGAGACCCGAGAGCTCTCACACTTGCTGCAGCAGCTGCTGCAGCAGCTGCTGCAGTCTTGCTGCAGCCCTGCTGCAGCCTTGTCGCAGCCATGCCGCAGGAGCTGCTACAGCAGGCGCTGCAGCTTTGCTGCAGCCCTGCTGCAGCCTTGTTGCAGCCATGCTGCAGGAGCTGCTGCAGGAGCTGAGGAGCTGCTGCACCCCTGCTGCAGAAGCTGCTCCATTAGATGCTGCAGCAGCTACTGAGGGTCTGCTGCAGCAGCTGCTGCAGCAGCTGCTGCAGACGGATGAAGAGCTTTGAGAGCTGTCTGAGCTGCGCTGCGGCAGGACCAATCTGCTGCTGCTTGGCAGCTGCAATTAAAACAAATAAAAATAAAAATGTAATTTAATTTAAAAAATGAAAAGTTAAAAATAAAAGAAAATATTTGGCCCAGAAAGCCCCCGGGGCTGCGCCCTGGACCCACCGCCATGGACGGAATTATCTTTGAGTTTATTTTGAATTATTTGCAGCAACAAATGCAGCAAAAGTGTCCTTAAAAGCAAACAATTAATTTATTCATTGTTTTTAAAGGAATAAATTAAAATTCTGGAAAAATAGAAGTTTAAAAGAATCAAAAAGACCAAAAAATGACATTTCGGATTTAAGGTGAAAACAGCAAAAGCTGCGTAGACACCCCAGGCCCCTGGGGTGTCTGCGCAGCTTTAGCTCATTTTTTATTTAAAAATGAAATAAATTTGATTTATTTAATTTAATTATTTCTTTTATTTTACATTTTGATTCTCCTTTATCTCCCGCTGCAGCTGTTCTCTAGCTGCTGCTTTGCTGCAGTTTTAAGGCAAAAAAATCTCTTCGGAGCTGGGGTGTACGTACACCCGAGATGCTGCTGCGCAGAGAACTCGGGTGTACGTACACCGCCAGCTGCCAGGTGTCTCGGGAGTCCACTGGTTAACCAGTGGTTCTCAGCCATCATTTAAATCCTTTTATGCTGCTGCTGCTGCTTGCTGCGCTTCTGCGCACCGTGAATGCATGTGCTGCAGCAAAAGGCGAAGACCAAACAGCAGCAGCAGCTCCACTTGGTGCTGCTGCTGCTGCTGCTGCTGCTGTGCCGCGGCGCCCTCTAAATGCTGCAATGACAAACAAAGAAATGAAATGAAGAAAGAAAAAAAGAAAAAACTTTTAAACGAATCTGTCCTTCCCAAAGACAGCTTCTTATAAAATCCGGAGGCAGCAAGAGCATATTGTGGCCCCCCAGAGCTGCAAGCTGCAGCTATTTAGCTAGCTAGCCGCGGCTCGCAACAGCTAGCTAGCCAAGTAGCTGCAGCTAGCTACTTAAGTAGCTGCAGCTAGCTAGCTAAGTAGCTGCAGCTAGCTATTCTGGAGCCAATAAAATCCCCGTTGAGGGCTGTCGTGAGACAGTGAGGCTGCAGAGGGTCCAGTGACAGATTGGGGCGGCGCAGGAAGGCGCTGTGCGGCAAAATGGAAATAATTTATTGAAAAAGTAATTATTTAAATGTTTAAATATATTTTTAAATGAAAAAACTGTTCAGTCGGGGTTTCTGGCGGTGCGCTCTGTGAGCCAGGTGTGCTCGCGTGGGGTGTACGTACACCTCTGTGCGCGGCGAAGTTCCACTTCAACTTTCCCCCTCTATCCTCATTTTAATTTAATTTTTGTTTTAAATAGTTGAAATAATTCATTTTTTTAATATTTAAACACTTTTTCACCAACTTGAAGGCCTCGGAGCCCGGGCGACCGCTGGTCAGCCCGTTCTGGTTTTGTCTGCGGTCGGGTGCGGTCAGCGGGAAGTGCAGATCGGAGGGTAAAATGCCCTTTTAAGCCAAATTTTAGTTTTCATTTAATTAAAAATATTAAATTATTTATTTATTTTTATTAATTAATTCTATTTTGCCCTCCCTTGTGGCCTCTGCAGGCCAGCAGCCGCTGCATGAAGACCGGTGGTCTCTGGTGGACTGCGGCGGTGCGCGGCAGCAGCAGCAGCAGCAGCAGCAGCAGCAGCAGCTCGTGTCTGTCATTTTATTCCTTTCTTTTTCTTTAGTATTTGCATTTCTAGTAGCCTTATTTCAGAAGGAGTTTTCGCCCGGCCATCAATTCCATCGGAGTCCTTAAGTAGCAGCGCCGCCTCTCCGTCGTTTGCTGCCTTCGCGCAGCAGCAGCAGCAGCAGCAGCAGCAAACGGAGCTCTGAGTCTTTCGAGCTTCTCTCAGCCCGCCGAGCAGCAAAAGCAGCAGCAGCAGCAACTCAAGTAGAACGCACAACGCAGGTGTGCTTCTTTCTGGGCGCTCCCCAAACCCCAAACCCCAAACCCCAAACCCTAAACCCCAAACCCCAAACCCCAAACCGCAAACCCCAAACCCCAAACCCTAAACCCTAAATCAGCGCTTCAAGGCGCTGCCTGCGCAGAGGCACAAATGTCCGGAAGCTGTCTTGTTCAACTGCAGCACGCAGCAGGAAAAAGGCAGGGGCCCCCCTTTTTATATTTTTCACTCTTTGTTTTATTTTTCTTTTGTGTCACTTTTGTTTCTTTAGCCATGAGGGGCCCCCTGGGGTCACCTGCAGGTGACCCCAAGGGAGGCAGCTGCTGCTGCTGCTGCTGCTGCTGCGCGGCCCAGCAGCAGGCGCTCCTAAGCAAACTCCCCATTGGCCGCTGCTGCTGCTGCTGCCGCTGCCGCTGCTGCTGCTGCTGCTGTTGCCGTTGCCGTTGCCGTTGCTGTCGCTGTTGCTGTTGCTGCTGCTGCACCTGTTGCTGCTGCCGCGGCAGTTGTTGCTGCTGCTCCAACTGCCGCTGCAGCGGCAGTGGCAGGAGCAGCAGCCGCTGCTGC